AGTTCGTAACATCATTGAGCCTGTAGGCATCGCAACGATTAATTATGAACAACACTCTCCGTTAATTTCGCGGTAATGTATACCAGGCTAACAAATCTGCATTTTTCAATCGACGGTTGGCAATCGTTTCTTTTATGTGTGCTAGATTCTCATTGACAATGGGTGGCCCAAGGCTCAACTGAAATTTGAAACATACAGACCGAACTGCTACAGCATAACAAGAAAAAGGTGTTAGTTCGTCTCAGTGTCCATTAATGTTTTGTGCTTAGGTTTCAGAAATATTAAAAATCTGACAAGAGAGACGCTCGAGCATTGAGGACATATAATAACTTCTGTAATTTGGACCTGCAGGTATGTGCGATCTCCGCCTTACTTCCAGTGAATGCCGCGAGTTTTTTCACAATTGGGTCAACTAAATTATTAATCTTGGTTATTTTTGTGTTTTCAATGTCATTAGTGAATGACCTAAGTATGTGTCATCTAAAACTTTGGAGTCATGCCATGAGGATTATTTGTTTTTAACGACCAATCCTCCAAAGGCCGTTGTTATAGTATTAACTCCTCAACGAACACTTTCAACCTTGTAAAGGATTGTCGCGTGTTGAGGCAAAATGTCCGATGGCGAGGAAGGCATGGAAGAAGAGGGAGGACCGTACCTCGGGGCATGAACATTCTATTTTAAATAATTTTTTAGGAATACGAGGGCGGTAGAAATGAGAGAAATGAACGGCATGGAGATGGCAAAGCAATACTGCCGAACCATGATACGTATGAAGGGCACTACTGCAATGGTCTAAGGAATGGAAAAGGCTTCTATAAGTAAATTATCTTTTTGTTTGATGAAAATAGGTTTAAAAATGGAGCAAGATACTTTGGATATTATGCGGAAAATCGCAAACACGGACCGGGTGATTTTTACTATTTGGATGGTTCCGTTTACAAAGGTAACTGTCTCTTAAGATTTTATGGTTAAGGAAATTGGGCTGATGACAAGAGAAATGGTTTGGGAACCTATTATTACATAAACGGGGACGTCTACGAGGGTGAATGGCGAAACCACTTACGACACGGGCAGGGCAAGTATACTTTCGCAGCCACTGGACTAGTCTATTCTGGACTTTGGAAAGAGGGTAAAATGGATGGCTGGGGAGAACTTATTCATGAAAAATATAGATTTGTTGGCATTTGGAAGGACGGAAAAGTGAGTTTACTGTTGACCTTATATCGTAATATTTAAATACGTGCATGTTGTAAGTCATCAGCCTAAATAGGAGCTGAAAAGTAGCAAGATTTTTTTCTATTCAGACCCTTGCAGTTGAAGTTTTGTGTCAAAATGATCAACTATTATCTGTAGTTAATGCACTCTTAATTTTTCTTTGGAATGGTTGTAAAAATATCCGTCGCATTTTGCTTTACTCAAGGTGGTTTTCACTAATTAACAAACACTAAAGTCTGAAACTTCACATATCAATGAAGTTGGTCAGCACATAGCGATAATGCCTTAAGTTATCGGTTTACGTTTTTACCAAAACAGTCAACAAAACATCGTGTGAGCAGCGATCAATGCTCGATAAACCCTGTTGAATATTGGCCCCTCGCAATTGAAAATATCAATTATTTCACATATTTCGATCGTCAGAATATTTTGACTGTCTGTTTCTCATGAGCATATTTATACTTCAGTACTCGTTTAACAACTTCTGCTATGAGTTCAGTATTTTCTGTTACATAGCTCCTTGGGAAAGGCCGATATATCTTTGACAAACTCAACTGCCAGCAAATTGGCGAATACGTCCTAACTCCCGCAGTGAGTTTTCATATGCTATTTGACAAGTCCTTCTATGTTTTCTGAAAGCAATGTTTCTTATTTGTTTCTAATCCGTTAAATCCATAAATTTAAACTGAAAATTTTTGCAGTTCAGTCAAATTTCGGAGTAGAGGATTGAGAGTGGTTAAGGCTGCCATTTATTTTTAGTTCACAGGTCAGATAATTTACAAGAGATTATGTTAATTAAAATGACAAATGATTAGCAGTATAACCATCCGATTAGTTGTGTAGTCACCAAGGAAGAAGAATGCGTATAATAATTTCGGAAATAGTTCTAAGTCAAAGCTCCAAGTCTGCGGAACGAGGTCAACAGATTGTTGAAAAAGGAGAAGCACGAAGACCGATGGAAAACCACTGATCAAGAGGATATGGTAAAATGGACAAAGAGGTCGAGGGTGGACAAGTAACCAACTCTTAGGAAAAGGTAAATGAAAACTTCGCTAAAGCCACCAACATGTGCATGGATCATCCAACAAAAGCAGTTAATCTCTCAACATAAAACGTACCGCATACTCGGGGATTATTTAATCTCAGATTGAGAGATTATCTTTAAAAATATCTACGGCTCATATAAAGGCCATTTTAGTGACCAAACATCCTATCGTGTGCACAACCAGGGACACATAGGATACTAAAAGTGTATTTGCCCGTCTTGATAGTTACTAAGAGGGTTAACCATAATTCAATTAGACTAATCAATTTTAAAATTGTCAACATGTTTGACAAAGGTATTCCAAACAGAGGGCTCTATTTGTACTTTACCGTTCGGTTTGCTTCTACAAGCCGTAGGTATTTCTAGGAAAGCATGTATGTCTTCGCAGCAGCAAAACTCTAATGTATGTTTCTGGTCCTGTCGTGATTCAACTGCCAATTTTGAAACCTATTCACATACGAAAATCAAATTCGAAACACTACGAATAAAATTTGAGTAGCAGACAAGTAATAAGGATCGCTTAGAAGAAAACGGTCTACTCTCTGCTACGATAGTGAATTTAACTTTACACCGATTAATCGATATCCTTTTACCAGAGCTTGATAGCCATCGAAAAAAATATATTACCCTTGAAAACCCTAAAACTGCGGGTAACAATGGGATTAATACTTAATTTATTTAATATCACTTGCTTTTACGCTATACTAAAAGGTGCGTTTCGTATTTCCATGTAATTTAGGCTCCGGAAGAGAGACGACCAGACGACGAAGGTGGCAATGTTACAATTTCACGATGGAAGGGTCAGACCATTGAAAAAATAAAGGAAGAGGATATGAAATCTAAGACGCACACTGAGGCAGATGCTACGCTCGGTAAGTGAAAGTTCTGGACCCTTAAATTTGGCAAGAACTAAAGTGCTACTTGCGCATGCTATAAAACCTACGTTTTTGAATTGTGAGGTTTCTGCAGCAAAATTTTCATGAGAATGTGTTTAAGAAAAGAATGCTTACGTACTTCTTTAAAACTCTAGTTTTTAAATTTCTGAATTCATTATACCTTTTTACCTTCAATATTTCCCGACAGCGGAAGTTTCTACGGTGGCTAAGTAATTTGAAATGATCGCGTAAGACTGCGTTTGTTATTTTGTTTGTTCTCCGTTAGAATAAATACCTAGCTTTTAGTTTACTACTCATGTAAAGTAAATTTTGTATACATTTTCAGATGAACCTATTGACGCAGATGATGACGATGTTGAGAGAGAAACCATAGAATCCAGTTCAAAATTAGCTGAATCTCCACCCAATGACACTGTTCCCGCTGTTAC